TTATAGTGGTTTTCCTTGCAGTGAACGTGATCGTGATGATCCTTATAACAAAGACCCTTGGAATCTCCGGAATCTTCCTAGATTAACAGGTTCATTGCTTCATGACATCACTCCAGCAATTCCTGGGATGATGCTACCTTGGGTGTATGTAGGAATGATTTTTTCAGCGTTTTGCTGGCACGTTGAAGATCATTATACCTATAGCATAAATTACATGCATTGGGGCGAAACAAAGACTTGGTATGGAATTTCGGCCTCACTTGCCTCAAAATTTGAAGCAGCAGCGAAAAAACTCTTGCCAGAACTATTTCAACACCAACCAGACCTATTGACGCAATTGACCACTATTCTAAATCCAGAAAAGTTGGTTCAAGAAGGAGTTGAAGTTTTTGCTATTGATCAACGGCCAAATCAATTCGTAATAACTTTTCCACAGGCGTATCATGCAGGCTTTAATCACGGGGCAAGTTTAAGTATTTTTTATACATGAAAGTCGTTTAGTTTTAGTACTGTTAATTATATATCTATTTTATTTATATGGTTCCAGCTGAATTGTAATGAAGCTGTCAACTTTGCATTACCAGATTGGATTAAATTTGGATGTGAGTCAATAAAATTTTACAAGGAAATAAAACGACATCAAGTATTTTCACATGAACGGTTATTATTAGCGATTGGACTTAAAAATTCAAACAATTATAAGGTTGTTAAATGGTGAGTAATTTCATATTTAGGATAAATTCATTAAACCTTTATAATGAAAATTCAAGTACCCTTACATGGTTTGGTTATTCAATTGTAAGAAAAATTGTCTTTTTCTATCAAAGGCTTAAAGATCCGTTAACTGAAATGTGCACAAAAGAACTGAAACTTCGAATTGAAGTCATTCAAAAATTGTCCTTACCCGCGCCAATACATGATATTACCGAACCAAAAGATTCTGAAATGGTATGCTCCTATTGTAACGGGTTTAGTTATTTTTCTGCATTGAAATTTAAATGCACCGATCAAATTCTATGCCTTGAACATACGGAATATGCACCGGAAATGTGTAAATGTGGCGAAGAAGGCGAAAATAAATACTGTTATTTCATTCAAGTACGTATCAGAGATTTTCATTTGAAAAGCTTAATGGACACTTTGGAATATACGGTCTGCCAAGCACAACAGGATATTGAATATATTGGTACATATCTTGAAGAATCAACAACTTTATCAGTCAAAGTATTGGAGGATATATATACAAGAATCAAGGAATGTGGATACGATTTCGAATTGAGTGAACTTAACCATTTTATTGAACAATCACAAAGTTGGTTTCGACGATTAATTGAATTATGTTTTGAGGCTGCACGAAACATCTGGCCCTCTACATATCGTAACATGCCTAAAGATGATTTTGATATTGCTGATTTTCTTTGTAAATGGGAGAAGAGAACTAAAAGTTGTCTCTCCGCGACTGATTTACCTCCCCTCAATCAAAAACACTATTGTTTTTGTCGAAGACCAGACAATTTTAAGACGATGATAGAATGCGATAAATGCCACGAATGGTACCATTGCGAGTGTTTTGGCATGAGCGACGACGAAGCAAATTCTTTGGATACATGGACATGTTCTATGTGTCATTTTGATAAAAACCATCTTTCAAAAAAGATACGAAAAAACATGAACAAATTTGAAAAACTTTCAAAGGCCACTAAAGTATTTCCTTTTTCACCAAGACATTCAGAACAATTTATCAAGATAATTCAAATCATCAAATCACTTTTAGGACCTGATCTATTCCACATTCGACGCGCGATTGGTCTTGGTTTGGCCATTCCTATAGATGGAATAGAGACGACTGTCATTGATACGGATGTAATTATGACGGATAATTAAAATAGAATTATAAAAAGTTGATGTTATCATTGGCCATATGGGATCTTTTAATAATTAGTAGTGTGTACAATATATTTTTTGGATTCCGTTATCATTTATGTAATAAAGAAAATATCACCGAACTCATTTAGAAAGGTATTTTTCGATGAGATTAATTTTTTTAACCCTTTTTGTATTCAAAAAAGTGCAAAGTTGTAATGAGTGTATAATAAAATTGTAGATTATATTGTAATAGTTTCAATAAAAAAATCTATTATTTTTTAGTTTTATTTTTTTTTACAAATTTGTGTTAAAACATAAGAAAATTATTTTTAACAAAACCAGTGCCAAATTCTGGAATACGGAATTAACATTGCCGATGATCTACGAATTGAAAGTAAAAGATTGTGTTAAAACATCAATTCTTTAACAAAATAAATTTATTATAGTTTTGGTTTAGTGTTTTTAATAATTTGTTTAATTCGAAAATTTTTGGGTTGGTTTTATTTTGATTAAAATTTTCTTAACTAAATTAGCTATAAAGTTTAAATTTTAAAGCTTATAATTTTGTAAAATTATCTTTTAAACTATTAGTTTTTTTTTTTGTTTTTTAACGTTTAAAGACAGTTTCTTCTGCCGTCGGATTTTATTAACCATGATTAACGAAGTGTCAACAAGAATAACTTTTCTGTTTTACGATTACATGATGAATATACAACAAGCTATATATACAATTTTAGTTATTGTTTGATTTAAGTAATCTACTGCATAAATATGGTATTGGTTTTACATTATGTTGTTATACTTGTAATCTGCTTGTAAATTATTTATTTAAATACTCTAATTATTAATCTATATAGCAACTTAATTAATATGTTTAATATATTTGATTACATATACGTATTAGTTAACTTATATAAAATTATTTTTTCAAAGTTTAAATTGTCTGAAATGTTTTTTATTTTTTTTATTTTTTTTTATTATTAAGGTGGCTTCCTTTGCTAATTAATTTGTTATTATGAAGCTGTCACAAGAACAATCTTCTAAGGTTTTACAGTTATATAATAAGTATATAACAAGTTATATGTACAACTTTAGTTATTGTCTAATTTAAGTAGTCTGTTATGCAAATAATTAATCATCTGTTGGTTCTATACTATGCTACCATACCTGTAACCCACCTGTGGGTTACCTATTTAAACACTCTGATTATTAATCCTTCTTCTCATTTTAAATTAACATTACTACTACATCTAACTGCTTAAGCTAACTAACTTGCCTGTGAATTCATTTACTGCATGACTTAGGTTCTCTTAGGATATATATTGCCTAACATATTGTAAGTATGCAAAGCTTCAATTAACCTTGAAAGCATACCTACTAGAGTGGTTTGTACCTATTTTACAAATTCACCTAGTTTAGACTCTTGTGATATTCATACAACCTCAGTTTCTACTGTAGCTCTCTACTGGTATGTATTAATCGATTTCTCTAGATATTTTATAAAATAGATCTTCTCAAATCCAATTAGCTGCCAAGCCAAGTTGGTGTTACTGATCTTTACTACAGATATAGACTTACTTATATCTATTCTGATCTATATCTTTTAAACCAGTTTTTTTTCAGATCAAGTATTAGCTGATGTGACTGTTGAAAGCTATACTATTTTACCAACTTGTGATTTCTACTATGCAGGTCTCATGCTCATCATCTAATGCAGATTTATTTATATAACATTACTATCATACTCCCAATATCTGATTGACTTAGTATAATACTATTTTTTACTGGGTTTTGTTATATCCTCTAAGATTCCTTTTTTGGGAATAAGCAGAGTTTTCTATAAGTTTAGTACACAGATCTAAGTATTATTCAAATTTGTCGATAATAGAATTTGAACTCCAGACTTATTGTATAGCAGTCTAACAATCTGATCACTATACTAGGTTACTAGACCTTCTGAAATATTTTTTATTTAATATATTATAGATATATATATTATAAATAATTGTAGAGAAAGGTCTATAAAAGTGATTTATAATTATTTTATAGGTTCATCTAAATTAAATTTTTATAATACAGTCAATTCTGAATATAATAAATCTTTTTATAATAAACTTTGAATATAATAAATCCAAAATTTTAAAATTTTAATAGTAGTTCAGTATAAAAAGAGCTATACTCTTAAGAAAACATAGTAATTAGCTATAATGAACTTTTTTTTTTAGCTAGATTCAAGAGTTCAGTATAAAAAGAGTTAACTATATTTATATAATCTTGGTTTTAACTATAGTTTTTTATTATATCTGTTTTCTTTTTTTAAATATTTTATAAATATTTAAAACTATAATAGATATTATCTAATATTTATTTATTATGAGTTTATATCTTTTCTTTTCTATCTAAGACTAATTAAAATAAGTATTGCTAAATATCATTACAAGTGATCATTACAGAGATAGTAAATAACTTTAAATAACTCAAATAATCCAAATTACTAGTGACTAGTTATTAGTTATTTCAAAATTTAAATGATCTGTTAAGGTTATTTAATATTTGTTAACTAATAATTTAGTCTTTGTAGCTAATCAGAATACAACAGAATATTTCTATATTTTTTTTTTTTATTTAGTCTTTTTTAAAACTATATATTTAAGAATTCACTATAAAGCACTACTTAAAATGATTTAATATACCTCTCTATTATAATATAATTCTTTTTTTTTTTTTTTGTTGTTAAGGCGGCTTACATTGCCGAAAGAATTTTATTAGAATTGTCAATGAGATTATACATTGATAATCCCTACTGTTTGTAATTACATGAAGAGTATACAACAAGCCACATATACAACTTTAGTTATTGTCTATTTTAAGTAGTCTGCTGCATAAGCGTTAGACTACCTGATTAGTTCTATACTATGCTACTATAATATATTAAATAAAAAATATTTCAGAAGGTCT